CTTATAAAAGCTTGACATTTTTTCTTAAAAGAGTTTGCTGTATATAATTCATTCTGAAATTCATATTCTAAGGTTGAAAGCTTTACTACACTTCTTGTTTTAGTATAGTTGAAGGCTTTAAAAACTTCTTTTTCTTATGCTTCTTCAAGAAATTTGTTTCAGCAATCTGTTTTGACTTTTTTAATATCTGAAAAATATTCATTTCAAATAGCTTTGAACTCTTCATCAGATATTAAGTTATTCTTTCACTCTCTCTTAGCAGTGACTAATGACTTTCTTTTAGAAGTGATATTCTCATTTCATCAAGGTTTGAAATACTCAGAAGACTTTTTCTTTGAAATATTTTCTGCAATACTTTTTAGAAGAATAGATATAATCAGCTTTACTCTATTCTCAAGCATTTCATTTGAGATATCTTGACTTTGATTCTAATAGAGCTCACTCTGTCTTTCAGATTTCAGCTATTTTACTCTTTCTTCAACTACTTTTCAATCAGCTTTTTCAAAGTTATACTGATTAGAGAGAAGAGAATTTTCACTTCTTTATTTTTCACTCAGTTCAATATCAAATTGAATGATCTCATAATCTGATTCTGAGGTTTCATTTGAATCAATAAACCAGTTTATAAGTCTTTTTTCAATTAGATTTTATGACATGAAAGTTAGATCTATAATAGATTTCTGTTTCATGCCTTTTCTAAAGAAAGTTTATTAATCAGACTTGTTAACTAAATCTATTGAATACTTAAAAGTTTATTCAATCAGTTTATCTGCTCTTACTGCTCTTGTACACTCTGAGTTCTATCAGAGATGATGTGTATTGAAGTCTTCTATAATTATAGAGTTTTTTAAGGAAGTTATATTCAAAAATCCTCTATCAATTATTCAGATGTTGATGTTTTCTTTCAATGACTTTTCATTATAGATATTTATAAGTTGAATAGTATCAAACTCATTCTCTTTATCTATAATATCACTCACTAGAATATCAGAGTCAGATATGATATCAAATCTCAAATTAAATTAATATCTTGATCTTTTTCTCTCATAGATCACTACTCTTGATTTTATCTCAGATTTTTCAGAAAGAAAGAAGTAATAGCTTGAATAAGAAATAATGTACTTTTACTCAGTATCAAAGTTTGATTCTTGAAGAAGTACAAAGTCAACTTTTTATTCAAATACAATCTGAAGATAAGAATAAATGTAATTTGAGTTTCTATTCACATTATTTTGAATAAATGTGATTTTTGAAGAGTTTTTAAACTTTTTTTGTTGTTTTTGTTGTATATTCATACTAAGAGAGAGTAGAGATAGAGTAGAATCTAATCTCTATCATCAGATAGTAAATTATAACTATTTTGAAAAGTAGAAATCTCAACTGCTTGCATTATATCTAGTTTATCATCAGAGTCATTTCTCACTTCTCTAATCTTAACAGAAGTTTAAGAATTCAAATTCTGTTTACACTTAGCTGAAGAATTGAAGTTTGAAGATCTAGATAGTTGAGAATTTCTTCTTTTTAAGTTTGCAGTTGTAGATTTACTAGCTTGACTTTTCTCTTCAGTTTTAGATTCACTTTAAGCTTCATCTTTTCTTAAGTTCTTCTGAGTTCTTGAAGTAAATACACATTCTTTTGAGCTAGATGCATGTTTTTCTTTGCAATTGAAGCACTTAAGCACAGTATGTTGACATATTTCACCTCTTTTTAAGCATATTTCATATTTATGCTCACTAGTTTTGTGATCTCTAGCACAGAATGTGCATTTTGAGTCTCTGAAATAAGAGATTGTAAAGTGTTCACATCTTTGACAGTTTGAACACTGTGTTTGAGCTTTGAGATTCATTCTTGAGTCTTTGTATTCATGAACTCTCATTTTCAAACCTGCTACTCTTACTTTAAAGACTCTTGATTATTCAAGTGTCTTTGTATATACTAGAACAGAGACATTCCTTCTACTCTGTCTGAACTCAATTGAATTAAGTCATACAGGCTCTTTTCTCAGTTGAATAGAATTATATTCTTTCAATTCATTTTTAAGAAGTAGCATTTCTTTCTCACAGTCAAAGATTTCAACTGAAATATCATGAAGAATGAATTTATCTCACTTTTCATCTCTCTCAGATAGAATTATTGTGTTTAACAGAGATTCTACTGCTAACTTTCAGAGATTCTCATTCTGAATAAGGAATTCTGCACTGAATTCAGACATTATGAGCAGAATGATGAAGTTTTCAAAGAAGAATAGCTCAATTGAAGCTATAACTGATTTTTAAACTTCAATATCAGTCATTAACTGAGAAAAGAACTGCTGATTGATTTCATTTCTAATTCTGAAAATGAGATTTGAGTTTAGCTTATTTCTCTGTAAGATGTTCTGATTTGAGACTTTGAGAATAAGTCTTCTATTTCTGAAGATTTGAAGATTTTTCTCTTTCTGCATTTTTTTCCTCACTCTTCTATCAATAGAAGTATGAGCAGTATTCTTCTCAGTTTTCTCAGAATTTTAAGCAGATTTTGAGACAGCAGATTTAGAGACAGCAGGTTTAGAGACAGCAGATTCAGCTGTTTGAGCATATGTTTTCTTCTGATTTAAAGAAGAAGAAGAAGAAGAAGTAGAAAAGAAAGAAGAGCAAACTGAAGAGTCAGTAATTATATTAGAAATTTTCAAAGTTTTTAGAACTGTGTTTGAAATTCCAAGTTTGAACTTGATCACTTCCTGTAGTTATCTAGTCTGAGTATGAAGAATTAACAGAACTTCTTCATTCATCTCACTCAGACACTGCTTTTCAAGAATTTTACTTACTTTTTCAAGTTTCTGTATTTCAAGAACTTGTTATTTCTCTATTTCTTCTTTCTTTCTTCTCTTCAGAATTTCAATCTCAGAAATAGTATTTGAGAAAGCATTCTTTTCCACATCAACTGAGTGTACTTTTGAACTCATTATTCTTACTCAATGAAAAGTTGATCAGACTAATTCAATTGAGATATTTATTAAACTCTTTTGAATTGAAAAGTTGATCAGACTGTTTCAATTAAGAGATTTCTAAGTCTGTTTTCAATTGAAAAGTTGATCAGACTATTTCAAAAGAAGAATAACAGACTTTTATGTATAAAACACCTGATTTTTTTCACACTAGTTCAGTAACTAGGTTAGATTTTTGAAGTGAATCTAATAAACTAAAATTGATTTTTAAGATAAATCAATAAAATCATTACAATCTCTTTCTTGAGATACAGTGAGAAAAAGTATAATATCAATTGATAATAAATCAGATAATATGACAGTTTTTAAGAGAAAAACTGACAAAAAATAAATCAATTTTTTGCAGAGAAATTGATTAAAACTATTCAATTTTATTCTAAATCATTCAATTCTCCTCACACAACAAGTGTACAACTCAAATCAGTTAATAAAGAGTGTAAAAAAGAATTAAGTATTAATAAAATCTCTTCAGTCACTGAAAAAGTAATTCTTACTTAAAAGAATATGAAATTATAACAGAAAATAACTCTGTTTTTAATTCTTTGTAAGAATATTGTGTAAAACTCAGAGAAAAACATCTTACTTTTTCAAGAGAAGTAAAAAACTATTTCTAAGATCTTTTTTTTGCATTAAATACTGCAGAAGAATGAGATAGAAACTGCTAAGATATACACTACTATATACTCTCTATCAAGACTTTTCCTCTTCAAAGTCTTGATATTATAGAGAATATAAGTCTGTTTCTATATAATAATGTAAATATTGCCAGCGGGATGTAGAGGAACTGGTTATTTATATCTCAAAATAGAAGACTTTCTCAATAATTATATCAATATAGAGTTAATTCTCAAATTCAATAGAAATCTAGTATTGCTGTTCTCAATCTCTTGCAGAATCTATTGAATATTGAGGTATTAAAACTAGATTTAATATATCTCACTGTGCAGGGATCAAAGGCTCAGTCAGACCTTGAGATATACTGATTTTATAGTTGTCGTGTCTGCTGATTATGTATCAAGTACAGTTGCTGAGGTATCTCTTTGTATTTTTCTGCTGGGAATGGGCCAGATCGGGAGGGGCGGTACAAGAGTGGAACTTGGTGTTAATGTCCTAACAGTTCTTTGTTAAATATAATATTTAAAATTCAACTTAGAGTTTAATCATACTTCTAATCATTTAACATTTAAACTGAGTTTAATCTCTCTATTTAAAAGAGTTACAGATAGTTCTTTCTCATTGAATCTAGAAAAGAAATGAATTAACTCAGTTTTATTCATATTAAATTGAATTTGATTGATATCTGCTCTGACAAGGATTTTCTTTACAGCTTTTTCAATCACTTTCAAATTCTCTTTGATAGTTTTTGAGCTGTAGACTAGACCAATATCATCTACATAACTCGGAGATTGCACTATTTTTGTGGCGGGCTGCGCCCGATCAATTATATAGACTATTCCGTTACACTCCACAGATTCCAACTGCTGTAATGGGATCAGTCGAATTGGTAATGGGACTATCAAAAAATCTGGTCCTGGTCCCAGACACGGTCACACGGTCAGTCTAGGACTCACATTACAGTGTTTTTTACATGGAAAAGTTGGTTTTTCTATAATAAATAGAGTATATTAATGAATGTATAGGTTGTAATGAATGTAGAGAAGAGTATAAAGAATATTCATTGAGATATGAACATTCGAAGTTGATTGTAATTGATGGTGGAAACGAGCGTTAGGTGCCTGATTACGTTAATTGTTGGTCTCGCCCCCAGACTAGGGATAGACTGCCGTAGATTTTAGCAAAATCGTTTCCCGCTCACTCTCGCTCATCATTACTAATTACTGACGTCAAGGTTTACGTTGGTTAATTGAGACTGAAAATGGATCTCTCTCATATTCATCGCAACCCTCTCAAGCTGGAACATTTACACCGTTAACCAAATTTCGCCACCGCTCTGATTACAGGCGCGGGCAGCGGGATAGGGTTCGCTGTGGCCCAGCTGTGCCGCTCGCACGGCATGAACCTCATTCTCGTAGATATCCACGCCGATAACCTGACCCATGCCCATTCGATCCTGGGCGACACTCCGACGGCTAAGACGCTCACGCATATCATGGATGTCAGCTGGCTTCCTGGGAATATCTGTCGCGGAAAGTCGGAGAGATGTTTCCTGGTGGGGTGGATCTGTTAATGCTCAATGCAGGCGCGAACTTTAAGCCGAAAGTCCCGGGGATGCCCTGGGAGGATTCGGAGTATTTCCAAAAGGTTTGTGGTTTACCTTTTTTTTTTATCCTTTGACATCACTACTCTTCAGTAGCGGATGTCCATTATGGGGGTGCTACTGCTAATCTGTATACACGCCCGTATATATGCATCCTAGACATTTTCCACCACCTTCATGGGTGTCGTAAATGTACTGTCTGTATTCCTCCCAGTGGTTACCGCCTCAGCCGACGAGCCGCGAGCCATCATAATTACCGGCTCAAAGCAAGGCATTACGAATCCGCCGGGAGGCAAAATCCAGCATACAACGCAAGTAAGTCTGCCGTGAAATCCATTGCGGAACACCTCAGTCACGATCTCCTCCCGAACAAGAACGTTTCTACACACCTTCTCATTCCCGGGTGGACGTACACTTCCATGGCGGGAAGCAGTGGTGTTTTGCCCGATACCCAGAAACCAAAGGGTGCATGGCTGCCTGAGCAGGTGGCAAGGTATATGTATGACAAGATGGGCAAGGGGGAATTTTATATCATTTGTCCCGACGACGAAGTCTCTGAGTCACTCGACCGGGCTAGAATGGCATGGGCAATGGAGGATGTTATGGAACGCCGGCCACCGCTGTCAAGGTGGAATGATATGTGGAAGGATGTCGCGGCAGAATGGATCGAGAAGGATTCGGCTTTGAGGAAGAAAGCCTGACGGTCAGGAGGAATTTTGTAGTTGAAACGGATGTTATCTTGTGAGTTTTTGCGACGTGATTTCGATGCTGGCATTTTTAATGAACTCCGGAGCAGGATATCTAGCATGAAAACGGGTGATGAAATATTTGTGAAAGTAAAAATGTTAAAAACATGGCTGTGTAAAATATGTGGACACCAAACAGAAACTCCCTTCCACCCATAAGAATTTGAGTGTGCAAAACCCAGAGTCAAGAACTTTACATTGGAAATATGCTGAGATGATCATCCCCTTTCTCTAACCGTTAATACAAGATCTGGGTTGTGGTCTCTCCAGTGCTGCTCCTACCCCTGTAACCCTTTTTGATAAAGGCTGAGCGGAATCAAATGGTCCTATTATAGTGACTTTCAAAGAAGCCAGAGTATAATCAGAAAATAAAATAAAACGATGCCAAGATATGTCGCAGGACAAAATCCAGCTTCTCAACTTCGGTTGTGCATATATTATCGTACAATAAAAGGCCAATAATCAAAAGTCGTTCCTGAGGGAAATATATTCATGGCCAACCGCTCACTTCGGAAGAGTATTCATGTATTTACGTGTTTCGTCGGAGGATAGAAGGGAGTGATATCTGGTGAGATGTTCGGAGGGAGGTTTAGGGAGGTTGCGCAAACGGGGGAAAATGGCGGAGATCGGAGATCGGTATTTGATTACAATCTAGAGTAAGAAGATATTAGAATGTAGCACAGATAGCGAATAATGCCTTTTATCGGAGGTGGAGAAATATGATGCTGCTATTCCCTCCAAGTTTCGAGCTTTCCCCGTGTTTTCGAGAGCTTTAAAAAATATCCCTTTTCTCTTTCTGCAGCGCAAACATGGATTGAAAAATAGCAAAAATATAGCAGCACCGTGAAATAGGCCATTTTAACCCCAGAACAGCGCCGGTTGACTTACTGAGGAATAAGCAGTTCGCTAAGACTGCTATGCAAGAATGCGACGGCGGCCTATCCGACAAAGATTTATACGTTAGCCAAAGCCGAATTCCACTGCAAAAGCCCAGGACTTCCCGGGCCATTTTCTGTTCGACAAAATCTTACCCCGAATACCACCACGCTTTTCACAACGGAGGCATTATCAGGAGATGTGATGTTGTGATAAACGGCAGAGAGGCCCGATTCCGGCTGACGCTTCTTTGCTGAGCCGGACTGTACGATGACGCGCTGCTTAGGAGCCATTCTGCGAGATGTATTGTTTATGGAAACAGATGAGGGGTTGCTTTTGGGCGGTAATATTATTGTTATACTGAGATAGCTGGGAGAAAACCTGTCATGTGGAGGGGCGAGTTGGTGATGATGGAGAAAAATCCTTGAAAGCTTCTTGTACACAACTGCGCCGTTGGTGTGTGTCGCGTGACGTAGTTTGACTATGGAGCTTCAAACCGATAGCTTCCAGAGTTAAATATAAGAAGAGAATAACAGCCTGCGTCCTGCACTTTGCTGGTTTCTTGTTTGTCAATTTACAGCTTCATACTTTCTAATGTTCCTTGCGTCTATTCTGAAACATCCTGAAATTTGACACGTCAGTTCATCTCCCTATTTTCCAGCTAACTCCAACGCCCTACTATGGCCAGCATAGATGATCTATTCAAGGTATTTGCACGCCCTGACGACTCAAAGCCAGTGTACTAACAAACTGAATAGAAGCCATTATTACCGTCTAAACGTAAATCCGAACCTTTGCGTGATGCCAGTACGTTTTCGCCAATGCCTCCCACCTGATCTTATAAGCATGCAAACAAACATGAGCGTCTAACTATTGAAACCGTTTCCCTTTAGGCGCACTGTATAAAAGCGCCAAAGTAGATGCCAACGGCGATGTGAGCAGTAGTCGGGCGGCTGCCGTAGAAGACGCTCCTGACGAGGATAATCAAGTTGGTCCTGAGCTCCCACCGGACTTCAACCCGGACAAGGATATCCTAGATGACGAGGAAGGGCGATTTTTTGGTGGTGGCATATCGCGCGACACGGCTGGCGCATTAGACTTTGTTGAAAAGCTAGATCAAGGAGATACCAGAGTGAGCACAGCGAAATTCTACCCTTCGTCCTTAATTTGTGAATTGCGCTCTTTGACAACAAGCTAATATCCACACTCCTGGCCGAATTAAAGCCGGAGAAAATCGACTCCGCGTGGCTACGACGATTGGCGCTGAACTTTGAGAAGAAGATATCTAAGAATGCAGAACTTCGCGCAAAGTTTGAAAATGAACCGCAAAAGTGAGTGTATTGGCTGTACTACTTCCACTCCATCACCTTGTGGGGCTAATATTCTAATGATATGTCACTTAGATTTATGGAGTCGGAAGCAGACCTTGATGCAGATATCAAGTCCCTTTCGATCCTGTCAGAACATCCAGACCTGTATGAAGAGTTTGCCAGCTTGGGCTGCGTCGGCTCTTTAGTTTCGCTATTGTCTCACGAAAACACGGATATAGCAATTGACGCGATCGAGATTCTAGGCGAATTGACTGATGAAGATGTCGAGGCCGAGCAGGAAGAGTGGGATGTTTTGGTCGCTGCTATGGTAAGGCCCATTTTAGGCTGCCAGGGAAGATACTTTTACTGACTTTTTGAAGGTGGATGCGGATGTCATCGCCCTCCTAAGTCAAAATCTTGCGAGGCTTGACGAGGGGAACGATGCGGACCGAGCTGGGGTTTATCACGTCATGAGTAGATTTTTAATAATCCTGAACATGAGCTTCGAGAAGCTAACACACAAGCTACAGGCGTTCTTGAGAATTTCGCATCGCAACTACCCATCTCCGAAAAAATCGGCCAAGATCCAGATATGATACCATGGTTGAAAGGTCGAATACAGAAGAAAGAAACATCAGTGTCACAGAATAAGCAGTACGCCGCCGAGATTCTTGCAATCTTGGTTCAATCGTCCGTCAAAAACAGGCAACGACTTCTTGAAAATAACCTGGTAGATGTTTTGTTGCAGCTTCTTAGCATGTACCGAAAGCTCGACCCTGAAAAGGATTCTGACGAAGAAGAATATGTGGAGAATCTTTTCAATTGCCTTACCTGTTTGGTAGATGAGGATGAAGGAAAAGCAAAATTTATCGACGCAGAGGGTGTCGAGCTAGCGCAGATTATGTTAAGAGAAGGCAAAATGAGCAAGCCAAGGGCGTTGCGCGTCCTTAGTCATGCCGTTGGCGGGAAAGGGGGTGCCTCCGTTTGTGAACGGCTTATCGAGGCGGCTTTATTGGGAACTATATTTGGGATGTTCATGAAAAACGTACGTATCCCATATTTATTATTTCTTCCATGTCTGATAAAACTAATCCCCGCACAGCAGGACCACCAATCGACAGAACACCTGCTGGGAATATTTTCTTCACTCCTGCGGCTGCTTCCTGGAGAGTCCTCCAGTCGGATACGGACGCTTGCAAAATTCATGGAAAAAGACTATGAGAAAATTAAGAAGCTGGTTAAACTGCGATGGGAATACGCGTCGAAAGTCTCGGAAGTTGATCAATTAATTGATCAGGAACGAAAATCTATGAGCTCGGAAGAGCAAGAACTCATGAGTCTTGAATGGCTCTCTCGACGCCTTGATGCAGGGCTCTTCTGTTTGCAGGTGTGAAGAACAATTTTCAAACTCTTTTGTAGATGGAGGTATCGCTAACAATAAGCAGACAATTGATGTCATCCTGGCGTGGTTGGTGGCCGAAGATGACGGAGCGAAGGCGAAGGTCAAATCTCTCCTTTCAGACCGTGATGAGGACTTGGCTATTGTAAAAACCACATTGCAGGGTATGTTAAATAAAGTGCCACTTCTACCAAACAGTTTCTCGCAGGAGCTAATGCCTCATTTTAGAACAACTGAACGGCCTAGATGAGACATCGACAGATGAACTAGACACGAGGGAAATGCTTGGGACACTACTACTATTCCTATGATGAAGGCTTATATATCTAGGTAGTTTACTAATTATTATTAAACGAATGTAAAATTGAATAGCTTATACCCATCCCATCTTGTGGGATGATAAATCTCCTGTATTCGTGTGGGAGGAGCTAGCTACATTATAGCCATACGGGAAGAACATAGGGTTAATGTTGGCCGTTACGGCCGTTGCGGTTAGCGATCCCACTAGATCACGTGACCCACCACTATATTATGCTCTTGTAGATAGATTATCATTATTATTATTCTTCAATTATAAATGTATACAGTCAGAGACTATGACATCTATCTGAGAACTTTTAGTTCTCAGGGTTTTTTCTATATCTATAAAGTTAACTATTATACATTCATTAATTTCAGATATATAAAATCAGAAAATTTCAGCTCAGAATATAAAAACTGTTTATAAATTACAGTATTTTAACATTTTCTGATACTTTGAAATTATTTAATAATATTATGATAAATGAAAAGAGAACACAGTCTTAAAGATAGATATATTAAATATATAGATAGAAAAGAATAGAAAGAAAAAATAAAGTAAAAAAAGACTGTAATAAAATAAATTATTAAAAGATAGTATATAGCTATTTAAATAGATTATATCTGATTAATTTTCTTCTCTTCATATTCAGATATTTCTGAATTTAGTTATTTTCTTATAGCTGTTTAAGTTTCTGATAGAAAGTCTATTAAGTATTTAATTTCTATCTCAGTTAAGAATAAAAATCTTATATTTAATTAATTTAAATTATACTTCTCTTTCAATCTAACTCTGAGACTATTATATAATATATAGTATATTATAATATACTCAGAATTCTTATTTATATTATAAAATGAGTATTCTATTAAATTAAATCTATTAATAAATCTTTATATATAAGATTTAAAATAGTTATATTCTAGTTTCAGCTATATTATAGATAAGAATATTTTCTTTTTATATTTAATTAAATAAGATTTTCATTTAAATTTTATTTTAAATCTTGAATAATATATACTCTTCTTTTATTTCTATTAGCTTTTTATAAGAATAAGTACTCACAGGCGATTATTCAGATGTTTGCAGCTTGATATAATATATACTATTAACTACTAGAAGTATTTGCAGTAGATAGATAAAATGTAGAGATTAAATATATAATAGTATTTAAGCTGAGTTATGAATAGTATTTATAAACTCTAGTCTATATAGTTATATATAGTTAAGAGCTGCTAACTCTATTAATTATATAAGAGATAGAAATAGAGATAAAGAATTTATAAAAAGTGAGATTTCTTACATACTTCTTCCTCTCTAAGACTTTATTCATGAAGTCTTTTACTAAGTGACTTCATAGAATCAGCTCAGCACTGCAGTGATACTTACTAAAAACTCTTCATATTTATAAAAAACCTCAGTAAGGAAAAATCTCTTATTATTATAAAGAAAAAAGAGTCTGTCACTCAGTTTCTTATTTTATAAGATTCTTTATAATTTACAGATTCTTCTCTGATTATTACACAGATTCATCTCATATCTTTTATATAAAAGAGTTTCAGTTAACTCTCAATTATTTTCATAAGATTCTTATATAATTATTACACAGATTCATCTTACAGATAAATCACTCTCTGTGAGATTACTCTTATTAAAGAGAAGTATTCATAAGTTAATCTTTCACTCATTCTCATAAATTATTGTTCTTTAATACTGTAGAATGATGAGAAATTTTCTATTCTTTCATCAACTCTATAGAATTGTAGAATCAAGATATTCACAGTCTATAATCACTTTTTATAGTTATATAGAAAGATTCAGATCTATGATTTATAGTCACTCTTTATTTACTAAAGTAATCTGACTATTCTGTGAGATTACTTACAGTGTAAATAAATCTCTCTAGAGTAGTATAAATATCTCAGATCTGTTTATAAAATCTTATCTTCTTTTCTCTTTTTCTATAACAGCTCTCATTTCTACAAACTGTGAGTATTCTTATTTATTCATAAAGTATTTTCACTCAGATAATAGAGAGAAAGTGTTTCTAATAATATCTATATATTAATTCAAGAACTTCTCAAGAATAAAAATTTTTTCAATTTTAATATCTTTATAAATAATATCTGATCACTGCTGAGCTTCTTATAAGTGTCTTTATAACTCTAATCACTTTTTACTGACTGATAAAGCAGAGATATTATTATTTATAACAGTGTTTTTATTTTCTTTAACTCTGTCACTGTATCTGATCTTCAGATCAGTAGTTAATCTTATATCTCTCTCAGATCAGTCTCTGACTTTAAGTAGTGCAGTTTCTCTCTTTACTGTAAGTCTTCTTATAAGTAATTTCTTACAGATTCTAGCTAACAGTTCTTATAAAGCTTCTGATTTTATCAGTGTCTTCTGCAGTCTTACAGATCTACAATCACTTTCTCTCTGCTTACACAATCTCTGATCAGATATATGTAAATATATCTAAATTCTTTATCAATGATTCTCACACTGCAGTGCATTTCTGCAATCTCATTATTAATAAGAGATAAGTTCTCAGATATCTGTAAAATCTGAGTAATTAAAATAATATGAATATTATGAATTTATAATGAGAGTTAATCTGAATAGATAAGTCTTCTCTTTATATCTTAATTATTTCTAAGCTGAATACTTCAGTATAACTGAGAAAGTGAATACAGCTTTGTAAGAGATATCTGATCACATGTGCAGATAGTCAGTTCTCAAGACTCTACTAGCTCTGATGACTGAATGGTTAATGCGGCCACCTGGTAGCGCCTTGGCATGGGAAATCAAGACACATGAGTTCAAAACCCGCAGAGAATACATTAAATCCAGAACTCAAGCATCTCAGGTTTTTAATAAATACAGAGATGTATAAATTGTGTCAATGAATTGCTCTATGTTTCTGAGCTAAGAAGTTATTATTGTATGTATCTAATTGTCACTTCTTTATATTTTTCTATGTTCTTGTTATCTTGATATGATCTCAACATCTGTATTTCCTTCTGTATAATCAATACTTAATCTGTATTTAACATCATGCAAGAACTCATTATAAGCTCCGCTTGCATATAAGTATAATGAAAGAATAATAATAATAATAATAATAATAATAATAATAATAATAATAATAATAATCAAGACTCTGCTATAATTATATATACTCTGATATTCAGCTTCTCTGAAGTCTATGCATTTCTGATAATTTTCATGTTAAATGTAATAATTATCTGTGTCACAGACATGATACTTTCTGCTTCTTTGAAGAAAGAAATTAATAGTTATAAGAGAGTTGAATGGTACAGATATTAAAAATATAAGTGTGAATTTTCTTTGTTTTTTCTTTGTTAATCTCTAAATTATGTTCACAGTTCTGTTTTTGTTTTCTTGTTTTTTAGCTTTAATAAGAGTATGATTTCTTCTTCTCTTTGTATACACTGTGAACTGTTCATCTCAGTAGAAACTCATCATCTTATAGACTAGAGTTTGTAAATGACAGTGTTAATATCTTTATTACAATCAGATTCTTAGCAAAGACTGCATTATTCTGACTTATCAGAATTCACAGTATGAAAGTCATGTTTCAGCTTCTACAGATATCTTATCTACTCAAATGATTCTCAAGTGAACTCATTTATGTTATCAGAATATTCTTGTCACTGAATCTTAAATCAGAGCTTGTAATCTCACTTCTCTGAGTTAATAATCTCTTTAATCTGATATTCTCTTTCACACTCTAGTGTTTTATAAATAGAGTGATGAGTCACAGAGTTGTCTTCTGAGAATTTCTTATATTCACAGAGTAAAGAGACATGAAAAACATTGTATATCTGCAACTCAGATGACAGTTTTAATCTGTAAAACTGTAAGCTAACTTTCTTCATAATCTTATAAGACTCTGTTTACAAGATTATTATTATTATTATTCTTCAATTATAGATGTATACAGTCAGAGACTATGACATCTACCTGAGAACTTTTAGTTCTCAGGGTTTTTCCTACATCTGTAAAGTTAACTATTATACATTCATCAATTTCAGATATGTAAAATCAGAAAATTCCAGCTCAGAATACAAAAACTGTTTACAAATTACAGTGTTTTAACATCTTCTGATACTTTGAAATCATTTGACAATATCATGACAAAGGAAAAGAGAACACAGTCTTAAAGATAGACACATTAAATAAATAGATAGAAAGAAATTGAAAGAAAAAGATAAAGTAAAGAGAGACTGTAATAAAACAAATTATTAAAAGATAGTATATAGCTGTTTTAACAGATTATATCTGATTGATTTCCCTCTCTTCATATTCAGATATTTCTGAATTTAGTCATTTTCTTATAGCTGCTTGAGTTTGTGATACAAAGTCTATTAAGTATTTAATTCCTGTCTCAGTTGAGAATAAGAATCTTATATTTAATTAATTTAGATTATACTTCTCTTTCAATCTGGCTCTGAGACTGTTGTATAATACACAGTGTATTACAATATACTCAGAATTTTCATTTGCATTGCAGAATGAGCATTCTATTAAGTTAAATCTATCATCAAATCTTTGTATATAAGATTTGAAATAGTCATGTTCTAGTTTCAGCTGTATTATAGATGAGAATATTTTCTTTTTACATTTAATTAAACAAGATGTTCACTTGGGCTTTGTTTCAAATCTTGAATAATATACACTCTTCTTTTATTTCTGTCAGCTTTCATTTCACTTATCTAAACAAGATTCTTTTATTTTTCTCTTTATAAAAGATCAGAATATAATTTTTTGAATAGATCTGTTTAATTCTGCACTCTTTTTTACAGCTGAATCAGTCAATTTATTGTCATGAATATTCATATAAGCAGGAACTCAGTGCAGATGAATTATTAGTTTTAATATTCTTCTTTTTAAATTTTTAAAACAGAGTTTAAGATCAGTTCAAGATTTATTTGATCACTATGAATCTGACTATTTCTAAGTCTTTTTAAAGCAGCTTGACTATCAGAGAATATCCATGCCTCTTTCAAACAATTTCCTCTTTTATGAGATTCTATTTCAATGAGTTTGCAAGCTTTCACTATTACAAATAGTTCAGCATCAAAGACTTCAGATTCACAGCCTAAATTTCAGAAATTTGCAATATAATTGATATTATCTTCAGAATAAGTAATAGCTGTGTCTAATCTATTCAAATTCTCATTTTTTGAGCTATCTGAATAAATCAGAATAGAGTCTTTTATATTGATTGTAGAAATCCTTTTCAAATGCTATTCATATTCTTTCTC